CATCTTGGGTCTTTCAGACCAGACTACCCATCAGCTGAGTATCAGTGAGGGGCCATAAGTAGCAAAAAAGAGTTTTCCCACAGTCCGGGCAAAATTCCTGACCAGCAGAATTTATGAGCATCTAAAATCATTGTTATTTTACCATTGTTATTGGTAAGTTTGGGGTGTTTTGCAACAAATGTAACTGAAACATAAATTAGTGAATTTAAAGATGGTAATTGTGTAGAAAATACAACACAGTGACTGGCCTTGTCTGCAAAACTAATCAATAGTTAAATATTATACATGTCTTTACTGAGTTCTTTTATGTTACATGACAATGTAATTATTTGCATAAGCTCAATAAGAATCCATCCTTCTCCCTATCAGGAAATAATTATAAAAAACAAATTTGTAACCATGACCATGTCAGAAATGTTTCATTTAATGGTAAATCTCATTTAATTAGGCATGACTAGCCCACTAGGAAGGAAAAGGATTGCTCTCCATTTTGTGGAATCTCCTGCAAAAGCCTCCCTGGTACCTCCATGGCTTGTGGAGTCCCCATTTTATAAGTAGTAAAGAATGTCACTTCCTGGAAGGCCAAAAACACTGACAAATTTGGGAATCTTGAACAAAACCGGGAAAGGCAAATTGGATGGTTCCTAGTTTCTTACCTTGGATTATGAGAACGAACTCAAAGGGCAAAAGAAATATTTCTGCTGCTCTATGGGCCACATTGAATTAACTCTCTAACATCACGTGGTTCCAGTTTTATTAACCATAAAACTCAAAGGTCTTTATGTGATCACCAATGCTTCATTGACCTTACGCAAATAAAATAGGCTAAATATAAAAAGCATTACACTAATTATACTGATAGTGCATCAGAAAATTGTGCAACAAACTTATTTGGTCAAATCCATATCAGACCTGAACAGATTTGATAATTGGTAAAAACTGAAAAAAAATGAAACTGATATTTCTTCTACAAACTTTGCATTTCAAGAGAGAAAGTCATGATATTATAGAGCCATCCTAAAGCTTTACACCTGAGATAAATTACAAAGAGGAAAAACAATTTTTAAATCAAAGACAGAAATGTGTTTTCTTACATCAAAGCTGTCTGAACTGTCTGCAATCTGATTAACCACATAATAATATAACTGTAAATCCCACCATCTCTATACATATCTTGCAAACCAATAAGTTGTTCTGAAAGTTAGTTTCCTTTGCATTGTGTTTTATTGCAATTAATAACTCAGATCAGAGTTCACATCAAAATTGACTAAAATACTTAATAAATTAATAATCTGGATAACAACGATAATACAATAAGCTTATTATATGTGATGACTTTCAGTTTGTCTTAATTCCATAGGTGACAGCCTTACAAAAACTATAATTTCATCAAAGCAGTTAATCCTGAGAAAGTACTTATTGCTGACAAAACATTTAGCTCCTTATTATATTATACATAATTCTTTTAAATTTTTTCTGAAGAACTTCAACTGATGAGTAGGTTGTCCTCCACACTGATGAGGAATTGTTTCTAAAGAATCCCCAAGTCTACTTAAAAACAGTGGAGAATTAGAAGGTGAGGAGCCAAAAAGTACCCTATTTTCAACTGGCACCTGGTTTTCTTTTTTTTCTTTTTTATTGATTTCAAAGAGGAAGGGATAGAAAGAGGAGATAGAAACATCAATGATGAGAAAGAATAACTGATTGGCTGCTCCTGCATGCCCCCCATTGGGAATCGAGCCTGAAACCCAGGCAATGTGCTCTGACCAGAAATCCAAACCTTACCTCCTGGTTCATAGGTTGTTACTCAAACACTGAGTCACACTGACCAGGTGTGGTTTCCTTTTCAAACTCTTCCTTTTTTGTCCTTTCAGTCAGATAGGGGGAAAGAGATTGAGTTTAACCCACTGGAGTGAGTTTAGGTGCTGTGCTGGACCAGAGGAGACGAGTTAGCCTAGTTAAACTAACTTGCTAGACTTGTTACATGACTGAACTCTGGTACAGTAAATGGTATGAGGAGTGGAGTCCCACATAAACTTTGGAGAACATTTTTTCTTTCCATTTGTAAAAGGGTTTATTTCTGCAAAAGAATTAGTCTGCCCACTTTACATTTGGGGAACAAATATTAATAAACAATTATCTGAGCATATAAAATGTATGTATTCAGTATTATACTGATTGAGGAATTATTTCTTTTAATTGAATTTACTGGGGTGATATTGGTTAATAAAATTATTTAGGTTTCAGGTGAAAATTCCATAATACATCATCTGTATATTGTTTTGTGTGTTCACTTCCCCAAATCAAGTCTCCTTCCATCACCATTAATCATCTTTATCCTCTTCTACTTTTCTCTAACCTCCCCACCTCCCAAAGAGATGATCTACAATGAGTCGAAAACTTAAACAAATGTATAAATCTGCTCCATGTACTTCTCCAGCTTAGAACCAATGGCCTAGTCGGCTATCATGTCTTCCATTAAATTTTCATTATTCCCAGAAAAAAAAAAGTTTTTAAAATTTTTCAACAAGGAAAAAACTCACACACAATTTTCTTATAAAAGTCAATTCAGTACCATCACCATCTGTTCCATCATGAATGTTTGAACAGGATCCAATCTTACTCCAATCATATTTCTGTCCACAATCATACATCACCTCAGATCATAAGTTAACCAAATTCTCAAATATCATTAGATCTTCTGACTCGTTAAGCAATTTTTGTACACACTGTAGCACTTGCTGAAAGGGTGTCATGAGGTAGCTTTTCTTGTTTCTATATCAAGCCAATGGTGGATTCATTCATATCAGAGCATTTAAAAATACAATGTTCCATTTAATCAAAAGCTTCAATTTTCTGCATATGAACTTTTATTTTGGCAATTAAGAAAGAAACAGTACTAAACCCTGACTGAGTGGCTCAGTTGTTGGAGCATTGTCCTTACACCAAAATATTGCAGGTTTGATTCTCGATTAGGGCACATATCTAGATTGTAAATTTAATCCCCTGTTGTGTTGTATACGGAAGCAACTGACCAATGTGTCTCTCTTCTCTTCTCTTCTCTCTCTCTCTCTCTCTCTCTCTCTCTCTCACACATCAATAAACATACATCCTCGAGTTAGGATTAAAAAAGAAAGAAACAGTACTAAGATCCAGACAGTATGCAAAGTTAACCTACTATCTAAGTAATTACACCTCAGGCTCATTAGTGTCCCAGCTTCATTTAAATTCACACCTCAGCAAAATTGCAAAATACTCGGTCTTGGACCTTCAGAGTGGCATTTACATAGTTGAAACCTTGAAAGTTAAAATCCTTAAATGCCAAAGATTTCTCGTGTATCTATATACCACATGCTTGCCTTTGTAAAGATCTGTGCCCTCAGCAGGGTCAAAAAAATTTAACACAAGTAATATTAGGAATCTATAAAAATCATTTTTCACCTAAAAATTAAATGCATCTATGTGCAACCTGTCCAATAGAACGAGATATGGTCTGGAAAGAAATAATGACAAAAATATGTACCTCACAAGGATCAAAGGGGATAATACATGTGAGGTAATAAATAATAACGCACTATATAAATGTTAGTAGTAGGTGCTAATGTTAATAAAAACACAATACATTGTACACCTTAAATTTACATAATTTTATATGTCAAATATATCTCAATAAAAGGTGAGAAAAAATAATAATAAAATACAGTAGCAATCCCCTCTTCTCAAAGAATTGGGGCAGTTTGTTAGTTGGCTACTTGGAGAAGTCAGTTAAAGCAAGGAATCCTACACACTGATAAATACATATTGTAGCCATTTTATTTTCATTTAAACCACGTATAAGTAGAATTCATTCACCAGTCCTCTGTGTGGGGCCATGGCCTTTATCTTTGAGTTTAGATCTGCTGGAATTCCAGTCTTTCTTGCATAAAGCACACCCATAATGCAGCATTCATATATAGCAATTCCAGTTGTATTAAAATGCAACAAAAGCTTCAACACAAATGAAATAATCAGAGAGTGTCTTTTCTTTTTACAATTTTTCCAATATTTCACACTTATTTTATTAGCCCCTAATTTCTGAAAGTACTCCCTTTTCTCACTTTTTTCAGAGCATTCAACTTAGTTTTTATAGAAATAACTCCCCTTTTTACACCAAGATTGCTTCCGTTTACAGAATATTTAATAACAAATGCATCAGTGAGTTGGGGAACCAACACAACCGATTCTTAGTAAGTAAATAATGTGACTTGTGGGTGTAAAAGTGCATAAGCATCTCCCCGGAGGAGTAGCTCAGAGCATCGTCCCGATACACCAAGGCTGCGGGTTCACTACCCAGTCTGGGCACATACAATAATCAGCCAGTGAATGCATGGACCAGGAGAACAAAATATGATGTTTCTCTCTGTGTCTATCTGTCTGTCTCTCTCTCCTCCCTTCCCCCCCAAATCCCTATACTCTCTAATCAATAAATAAAGAAAAAAAGTACACAAGCATCATACAGCCGTAGGCCCCATACTGGGAACATAAGTAATTTTACCAAGGATATGGACATTACTGATTTATTAGCTATCAGTTTTAAAAGTCTTTGCATATGTAGGTCAGGTCTCAAGCAAAGCTAACAAAGAAGAAAGTTCAAAATAGTTTCCCCATCTCTCTCACAGACACAGACATACACACACACACACTATCTGTTGTATTTTTCTTCAATCATATTTGATACACACTTTAGAGACAATAAAGTCAATGAGTAAAAAAACACACAAGAATACTGAAATGAAACAACAGAAAATGTATAAGTACAACATGATAAAATATCAGAGGATTTGACTCCTGACAAACTAAATGAGTCAGTAAAAGACATTTTAAACAAATTATCAGTGGCTCTATATTAATTTGAAAAAATTGATGATCCACCTTAAAAACAGCCTGTTAACAGAATGAAAAAGAAGCTTTTGTATTTATTTTCTTATCATGAGGGTGAGGAGGGTGATGTGAGAACTTACTTATTTCACTGGAAACCTGGTTCAGTTTATCCTGCGACCTGCTGATAAGGACAACCTTCATTCCACACCTCGCCAACTGAAATAACGAAAGACACCAAACAGTTGAGTCATACCTGTGCATTTTATTGAAAACAGACATTAGACATATTCTCATTTTAAGAAAACCTGACCATATGATAATCCAAATTAAAAAAAACAAGCAAACAGCCCTTGCTGATTTGGCTCAGTGGATAGAGCGTTGAACTTCAGACTGAAGGGTCCCAGGTTCGATTCTGGTCAAGGCCATGGACCTTGGTTGCAAACAGATCCCCAGTAGGGGATGTGCAGGAGTCAGCTGATTGATGTTTTTCTCTCATCGATGTTTCTACCTCTCTATCCCTCTCCCTTCCTCTCTGTAAAAAAATCAATAAAATATATATTTTTTTTAAAAAAGATTCAGGGTGAAATACTTAAGGGTGAATTATTATGATGCCTATAACTTACAAATGGTCGATCTAAATTAGAATTATAATAAAATTAAATGTGGCAAATGTTAGTAATTGGTGAATCCCAGTGAAGGGTATATGGGTGTTCATTATATTCTTACAATTTTTCTGTAGTTTTGATATTTAAAATAAACTGGGAAAACAAAAGAGGATTTTTTTAAACCACATGTGTCAAACACAAGGCCCGCGGGCCAAATCCGTCCCGCCAGGCCTTGCAATGTGGCCCGCACCATGCTGTCATCACTGCACTCCGCTGCGTTTCCATCACAATGACAGTTTATGACTGTTCAGTAAACCATTCGGCCCGCGATTTAGGCTGGATTTTAGATTTTGGCCCCTTCTCTGATTGAGTTCGACACCCCTATTTTAAACAAAGAACAACCTTTGGGAGTTACAAATGAGAGATGCAGTGGATCTGCCAGGATCTTCATCTCACCTAGGCAGTGTCATAGGCTGTGGGTGCCTTCTCGGAACCAGAAAGCAGGGAAGCTGGCCTGAAGAGTACTGCCAAGGTTCCTGCTTTTTATGATAGCCTTCAAACCATTATGGTTTCCTATCCTTTCATTACATTCCAGAGAAATTTGAACCCTTTGCCTGAGTCTGCCAATATATTTCTGTCCATTATAGTCCTTCCTATGAAAATGATTTCATAAATTAATATGGAAATATAACCTATAGAATAATATAGCCACCTTTTAGAAAATAGTTCAAAACTGAGGACTATCCAATTACTCGCCAAAAGAAAAGGTTTTTTTCTTACACAATATATTCCATATACAGCATATAAACCATAAACACAAAATGAATTAAAGACTTAAATGTAAGACTTGAAACCATAACACTCCTAGAAGACATAGGCAGTAAATTCTCTGATAATTCTCTTAGTAATATTTTTTCTGATATATCTTCTCAGGAAAGGGAAATGAAAGAAAAAATAAACAAATAGGGCTACCTCAAACTAAAAAGCTTTTGCACAACAAAGGAAATTATCAATAAACTGAAAAGACAACATACTGAATGAAAGAACATATTCCCAAATGATATATCTGATAAGAAGTTAATATCCAAAATTTGTACCAAACTCATATACCTCAACACCAAAATAAACATTCTAATTTAAAAAAAAATGGACAGGCACTGAATAGGCGCTTCTCCAAAAAGGATATACAAATGGCCTATAGACACAAAAAGATACTCAATATCACTAATCATCAGAGAAATGCAAATTTAAACCACAATGAGATATCATCTCACACCTGTCAGAATGGCTATCATCATTAAACCAACAATGAACAAGTGTTGGCAAGATGTGAGAAAAGAGAACTCTGGTGCACGGCTGGTGGTATTATGGATTGATGCAGCTACTATGGAAAACAGAATGGATATTCCTCAAATAATCCTGTATAATAAAAGCATAGTATGCAAATTGTCCCCTCAACTTGGAGTTGTCCATGAGTTCAATCTGGGGTGGGGCAGGCTGGAGGCAGGGAAGGAGGCGCTGGCCAGCAGCGGTGACAGGCAGCCAGGGGAAGGGAGGGAGTACCAGGACGGAGGATGGCAGCCACTAGGGATCCTACCACTGCATTAATTTCGTTCACTGGGCCTCTAGTTAAAAATAAAACTATACTCAGTAATTCCACTTCTGGGTATATACCTGAAGAAAACTAAAACACTAATTCAAAAAGATGTATGTATCCCATGTTCATTATGGTGTAATATTTACAATAGCCAAGATATGGAAGCAATCCAAGAGCCCATCAATACACGAGTGGATAAAAAAGATGTGGTAATATATAAATGGAATATTACTCGGGATAAAAAAGAACAAAATCTTAATATTTGTGACAACATGGATGACCCTAGAGGGTATTATACTAAGTGAAGTAAGTCAGACAGAGAAAAGAAAACACCTTATGATTTCACTTATAAGTAAAATCTAAAAAACAAAAGAAACAAGCAAAACAGAAACAAACTCATAGATACAGAGAACAAACTGAGGGTTGCCAGCTGGGAGGAGGGATGGGGGGCCTGGGTGACAAAGGTGAAGAATTAAGAAGTACAAATAGGTAATTACAAAATAGTCACTAGGATGTAAAATATAGCATAAGAAATATCCTATATAATAAAGAGGTAATATGAGAATTGACCATCACTCCAACATACAAGATGGCCACCCCCGTGTGGACACAAGATGGCCACCACAAGATGGCCAGCAGGGGAGGGCAGTTGGGGGCAATCAGGCCTGCAGGGGAGGGCAGTTGGGGGGGATCCAGGCCTGCAGGGGAGGGCATCTGGGAGCAACCAGGCCTACAGGGGAGGGCAGCTGGAGACAACCAGGCTGACAAGGGAGGGTAGTTAGAGGTGACCAGGCCAGCAGGGGAGGGCAATTGGGGGCAACCAGGCTGGCAGGGGAGGGCAGTTAGGGGAGACCAGGCCAGCAGGGAGGGCATTTAGGGGCAACTGGGCTGCAGGGAAACAGTTAGGCATTATTGATCAGGCTGGCAGGGGAGTGGTTGGGGGCCAGCTGTCCTGGATTGTGAGAGGGATGCCCAACTGCCCGTTTGGTCCAATCACAATGGGATTGGATCCAAATAGTCAGTTGGACATTCCTTGAGGGGTCCCAGATTGGAGAGGGTACAGGCTGGACTGAAGGACAAACACCCCCCCATGCACGAATTTCATGCACCAGGACTCTAGTAATTAATAATATTATACTAGCTATATATGGTGCCAAATAGGTACTGAAATTATCAAAGGAATAACTTCATGAATTGTATAACTGTGTAACCATTATGCTGCACACCTAAAACTAATATAAAATGACTTTAAGCAGGAACCGGTTTGGCTCAGTGGATAGAGCATCGGCCTACGGACTGAAGGGTCCCAGGTTTGATTCCGGTCAAGGGCATGTACAGTGGTTGTGGGTACATCCCCAGTAGGGGGTGTGCAAGAGGCAGCTGATCGATGATTCTCTCTCATCAATGTTTCTAACTCTCTACCCCTCTCTCTTCCTCTCTGTGAAAAATCAATAAAAAAAATATTTTTAAAAAAATGACTTTAAATGTCAACTGTAATTGCAAAAATAAAATTTAAGTAAATAAATAGAAACGAAAACTGTTCATATTTATACAATATAAAATAAAATTACACTAAATTTTTCACAATTTCAGATAAAAAGTTTTATATAAATTTTGTTTTTGTATTTTTTAATACCAAAAATAAGTTTTGAAAATGACCTACCTCTTCTGCATATGATTTTCCAATTCCATCAGTACTCCCTGTGACAACTGAGAAAAGAGAAAAAGTAACAGTTTAGTTTAAGAATTATAATTAAGAAATGATCATACATAGCGAGGACCCACCAATTAAATCCAAGAGGACCTGTGTAATACTTTGATATAAATTTGAACCACCTGGAGCAATACCAGCAGTTCAAATTTAGCTCTGAAAACCCACCACAATTGCCAAAATTAAAAAGACTGCAGCCCTAGATGGTTTGACTCAGTGGATAGAGCATCCACCTGTGGACTGAAGAGTCCCGGGTTTATTTCATTTTTACTATTGATCACAGATAATCAGACATATATAAAAATTTTAGTCTTCTTTAAACTGGGTGAAATATAAACTTCCATATTGTTAAAGTCACTATTATAGGCCCAGAAAAGCAAGAATAAGCTGTCAGTAAAGTTATTAAAACAAAATATTTAGTATTCACATCATTATAGGAATATTTACTCAAGGTAGTTCACTAATATCCAATTAATTCTCAGAACAGCTATCACCCCAATGTACAAGAACTTGTGCAATGAGCCTTGCAGTGTTTTCTCACTCAATTCATGTTATACAGATAAGAATTCAATTTTCTGAAATACCACTTTTATGATCTCATTCTCCTATCAAGGAGTGACAATGTTTCCCTATTAGCAATTATTAAAACTTCTTGCCATTCACTTCTCCCCACAGCTACTACATGGGGCTACCATCATTCATCTCCCACAAAAACTACTGCAGAAGAGGAACCACTTTCTAATTCACCTGCTCCCATTCTCCAATTCGTTCTCCACATGGTAACCAAAAGGGCAAGTCGGATCACTTCCCTACCTAAAATCTGTCAACGGCTTCCCACCCCCCTAATTCTTTACAAGGTCTTCCAAATAACACAATTTTCCTCTCACCACTGACTGCCTTTGTCATACTGAAATTTTTTCACTTCCTCCAAGGTAATATGCTTTCTTTACAAATGCTGTTTCTGCTACTTCCAATTTCACTCCAACCAGTGTCTCTCCCCCATCCTTGAGGTTTTCAGTTTAATTTTTCCTCTCCCACCATTCTTGCCTTAACCTCTAGACCAGTGGTTCTCAACCTTTCTAATGCCTCGACCCTTTAATACAGCTCTTCATGTTGTGGTGAGCCTCAACCAATTATTTTTGTTGCTACTTCATAACTGTAATTTTGCTACTGTTACGAATCGTAATGTAAATATCTGTGTTTTCCAATGGTCTTGGGCTCTACAGCGACCCACAGGTTGAGAACTGCTAGCAGGGTCGCCTAAGACCATCGGAAAACACAGATATTTACATTATGATTCATAACAATAGCAAAATTACAGTTATGAAGTAGCAAAGAAAATAATTTTATGGTTGGGATCACCACAACATGAGGAACTGTATGAAAGGGTTCACGGCATTAGGACAGTTGAGAACCACTAACAGGATCTCAAAACTCGCTGTCCCCATCATACTCTGTACTTTCTCTTAATAACATTCATCATATAGATTTCAATAAGGGTCTAAGTCACCACTTACAAATAAAAAAATTAAAAAGTTATTTTTACCAGCAAAGATGGGCTTATTCAAGAATAGCAGAGAATTGCAATTTGGAACAAGCACATACTACAGCAAAAACTATAGGCAAGTCCAGCAAACAAAGGAGAGGAAAGTTACTTTATAGAGAAAAAGGAGGAAGAAAGGAGGGGGTGTTTTGAATGAAAAGTCCATGAAGGAAAATGAGAGCTCAGGGTCGTGATGGCTTCCCATTAGCTGGGCTTGTTGCTAGGCAAGGAGAAAATCTTCATTCCATCCACTGGGGTAATAAAGTAGAGACACATCTTCTTGGAAATACAAGGTATATCTCTTCCCCTGTGATTATTGCTTCTTCCTGTGGAGGTGTGTAACTAAGGTGGAGTGGTAAGGCCTGACAGCTCCTCCTTCAGACCTCCTTACTACATTTAAAATGAGATTTCCTTTATTCATTTCACACTATAGTCTAACTGCTAGCATAGTGAATGGCAAAAGCAGATGATTAATGAGATTTCGCTGGATGAATGAATGACTGAATCAATAAAAGGAGACTATGACTAGAAAACTAGCCTCTGCTTTATCCACTCATTTTTTTTTTTAGAAATAATACCCAATCACCTACTGTACACAACCCAATATGCTCTTCAACCCCTCTCAACATCAGGAATCTGTGATCTAAAACCATTTTTTTAATGTAACAGAGAAAAGTTTCACTTTAGGGTAAATATGTAAATATACATTTTAAAAGAATTCTAATGCTCTCCTTGAAAGAAGGTGATTTTCAATGTTAGAGAAAACTACTTCACTCATAATGTACCAGAGTGGATACGAAGTGAATAAATCCAAAGCAGAATTAGGGGAAGGGAGGAAGAACCATTTTGGTCTACTAAAGCATGCCAAATTAACAAAGTAGGACAATTCACTGTTCTTGCCATTAAGATTTGCTTCTTCAATGAGCACTGGGTTGTTTTCATTTTGCTATGAAGTAAGTGAATAAGTTAAGGTACTTTTCAACAATACACAGAAAAAATAGCTACAGGTATCACCCATAACCAATAGCCTAAGGTATAATATTACCACAATCCTATGGGCTGTGGGAGCACATATGATGGCCAGGGGCAGACTTGTGCTAAGGGGGGGGGGGGGAGGGAAGGGAGAGAAGGGGAGAAAGGAGATTAAAAAAAAAAAGGCTATGTCTTCCTATATAAATATAACACCAGAACCCAAATTCGCAAGCCTCTGAGAAGAGGAAACTGACAAATATAGAGAATATTCCAACTTGGCATCCAAAAGTATCTAGCTTGTTATAGATTATATAAAATACTGGCAACTGACCAGGGCTCAGCTTCCAGATTTTATACAGTCAACAAAAATACTTTAATTTGTGTAGGTTAAAATTATTCTACTTTTTGTCCTCAATTTGCTAGGAACAGATATTTTTAGTAAGTACCAAATCAACTTATCAAAATTAAACATCAAAAATAGACTAGAATAGAGAAGCACTGGAAGCAAACATGCTATTTTTAGCTCTTCTGTCTATTCGCTGCCACTGCCTACCAAATTCTGACTGCAGAGCCCATGCATAAGAGCTTAGTTATTCCAGGCAGGTTCCTTCTCGTGACCCTTTTTTTTTCTCCCTGAACACCTGGATGCAGAGAACACTCGATTGATTAAAGATTAATACTGCCGCAAACCATGACAGCTGCCTTTCCTGTGAGTGCTTTTGGGGGTGGGGAGGACAGAAAATGACAGAGAGCTTGCATCAGTATTCCACTTGGGGATCTATTACATGGGAAGAAAATTGCTATTTCAATTCCCTTTTGCTGCTAAAAATAGCAGCCTCGATTGATTCAAGCAAAGGGGGAACCGGCTTGGCAGTGCTGAATTTAGAAACCACTGAAGTCCCAGAGCAAATGCTAACGTAGTCTAACACATGCCAGCTCATATCTAACAAAGAACAAAGAGAAGCATGCAGGCTGCAAGTTAATAAAACAGCAGCAACTTCCTGCATTTTTATTAAAGGTGATCAGTGAAAGTGATGCAAATTAAGAAAAGATTATTATAATCTGTTCTTCTAACAATAATTTAATTTTTAAAATTTACAGGGGAAAAATAGATTATGCATAAAACCAGATATTGTGGGCATTTCCCGCAACATCATGGCTTGGGAAAGTTACCCATTTTCTTCAAGCACAGTATATTACTAAAGAAAGAAAATGCCCAGTATACATATGTGCTGTCCCAGGAGAGAGGTTCCTTCTCCCAACAATCCACTCTAGTTCCCTAATGGCCAGCCCTCTTCAGCCTTCCCTCCTCTTCTCTTGACTCAAACAAATACTGCCGATAGTGATAGCATGCCACTTCAAAACCTAACAAACCAAAAAGCAAAACTAAACAACATTCAAAAACAACCTATCGGTTCAGAAGAGAGAGAAGGAAGAAGCTATGAAAAGCAGGATCTGCTGAAGGCAGCTGATCCCCTGGGCCAACTTCCAGGCAAGGACTTGTAATGCCTTCTGGTGGCACTAAAACCCCAAAATACCTTCTGCCTGGATTTTTCACTTTACTTGGTTAACTGAAAACCTTTCCAGAAAAATGATTCATTTCATTTCATTCCACACCCTTTTTAAAAATGCAAACGCCTGTGTAAGAATTAAAAAGCTATCAATCCTGTGCCTAGGTATGATTTAGAGAGGATTCAAACTGCGCTGTGTGGTCTTTCTGGGGATACCCAAACTGTGACATGGAAGGGGTTTCATGAGAGTAGGGATTCTGGCTGAGGAAAAAAGAAGTTACTACTTCTGGACCACAAACCTAGTAAAACCATAATGGAAAGATGGTAGGCGTTTGATATTTTAATACAAAGAGAATATATGAAGTGGTTAAGAATATGGACCCTAAAGCAAGACCAAAAAGGTTCAAGTCTACATTCAAATACCAATTCTACTGTCTATCATAAGCTACTTAACCTCATTGTCTCAGTTTCTTTATCTGTAAAATGAAGACAATATTATCTGTCCCATAGAATCACTGTAAAGATTCAATTAAAAATGTTAATAATAGTACCCGCCATTTTTACCAGCAATTTTCAGTTGAAACTCAAAAGAGTGCCAAATAAGAATTGTTTGAGAATTACATGGGACAATGTATATAATGTACTTAGCATGGGACTTGGTACCTAGTAAATGCTCAGTAAATGTTAGCAATAGCCAAGGAACACTAGAAAGTGGAAAGGAAAGTTTAAAAGTAACTAAGGTTAGGTATGATACCAAAACTACAAGCAACAAAAGAAAAATAAGTTGGACTTTATCAAAACTAAATGTTGTTTTGTTTTGTTTTTTATATCAAAGGACACTATGAAGAAAGTGAAAAGAAATCCCAAAGAATGGGATGAATGTTTGTGACACTCCTGTATAGGAATGTTTGTGGCATCCCTCCTCACAATAGCCTAAAGGTGGAAATAATCCAAATGCCCACCAATGGATTAA